CTCCCCGCACCCCACAATAGGCCCCAGTGTGTGATGTTCCCCTTCCTGTGTCCAAGAGTTCTCATTGCTCAATTCCCACCTATGAGTGAGAACATGCGGTGTTTGGTTTTCTATTCTTGCGATAGTTTGCTGAGAATGATGGTTTCCAGCTGCATCCATGTCCCTACAAAGGACACAAACTCATCCTTTTTTTATGTTCTTAATGTATTAACAAAAGTCAATGAATTATGAGTCTGTAATACTAACACTGTTAGCTAACAACAAAAATCAAGAATTCTTCTGCTCATCTTAATTATAGAACTTTATTACTTTCTAAATTTCTAATAGAAATAGAATTTCTTTACTCTGTGTAGTAGCATCGAAGGTGCCAAAACCCTAATTAAACCTGAAGATCCTTATACCTTTTGAAGATTATGAATTACGAACTGTATTCCAGGAACAGTGAATATACATAAAAGAAATAAGTCGCCATATACTTTGGTGGCCATGTGAAGCTGCTAAATCCACTGCCTTTGTTAAATATAGACTAAATAAAATTATTCATTTATTCACTGCTCTGGGGAAGTGGCATGTTACAGTACAAGGTAAAGGGATTCAGTACCTGCCTTTAAGAAATTTATAATTTAGGCAGGCAAAGTTTCTAAAACAGTGTGAACACATGTAAATTCAAAACGCTGTAAGTATAAAGCAATAGATGGAATTTTTAAGGAGATCTTAATATTCGAAAAGTGCTTACTATTTGCAAGTCACAATATTAAGTGCTTTAATAAATGGATCTCATCAGCTCTTCACTAAGACCCTGTAACATAGGTATTTATAATCCCATTTTAAATCAGGGAACTAAGATCTGGAGAAGTTAACTTGTCCAAGATCACATAGTTAATTAAGTAGCAAAACTAGGGACTCTGCTCCAAGTACTGAATGACACCAAATATATGCTTTAATCCTTTCATGGTGCTACTTTCATGACCATGGAAATCTTTGTTTTAGGACACACACACGAAACATTCAGAGAAAACCCTTATAACTATCTTTAATATTTATTCCCTGAATAAAGTAAAAAAAAAAAAAAAAAAAAAAAAAAAAAATTAAACACCCATCTGTAATACATACTCTTTTGCCTGTAATCCCAGCACTTTGGGAGGCTGAGATGGGCGGATCACGAGGTCAGGAGATCGAGACCATCCTGGCTAACACGGTGAAACCAGGTCTCTACAAAAAAATACAAAAATTAGCCGGGCATGGTGGCGGGCGCCTGTAGTCCCAGCTACTCGGGAGGCTGAGGCAAGAGAATGGCGTAAACCCAGGAGGCGGAGCTTGCAGTGAGCCGAGATCGCGCCACTGCACTCCAGCCTGGGCGACAGAGGGAGACTCCGTCTCAAAACAAAAACAAAAACAAACAAACAAACAAAAAAATACTCTTTTATGAAAGAGTAAACCAAGTAATACGCTCCACAGTATAAGCCAGGACTTATTGTTTTATTTTACTTGTATAGTTAAGTAAGAGAGCAAGCAGGAATTAATTCTTGTAAGTTTTTTTTTTCTTAACTGTGGCATAACAATGTTTTTTGTTTTTATTTCCTATGTATTGGGTGCTGTTAACAAATTTTCTCAAAAGAAGAAGAGAAAGTAATACTAGCTTTAAATTCTCAAGTCACGTTTATATTATAAACAGTTATCAGATCCATTGTTTAGTTTTTATGAAATATTTATATTAAAATGGGAAATTTGATATGTATAACATTAAGTGAAAAACATAAGCATGCAAAAATATTAATACAGCAAGAGCTGAACTTTTAAAATATAAGTAGAAAAAGATTTTTGAAAATAATACAGAAATGTTTTTACTGGTTAGCTGTAGAAGACGGTCTTACAGGTTTTTTGGTTGTTTTTGTCTTTCTTTTTGGACTTACATACTACTTGTCTGTGCTTTCCACATTTCTTTAATAAGCATATGATATTTATTTAATCTGAAAAAAATTAACAGATTTTATGAGTTAAAATTTATTTTCAATTATTTGAAAATTACCCTTAAAATATACGGGTATAAAATACATGTAAGGGTATAAAATATATGTTAGGGTATAAAATACCCTTAAATTCTAAAACGAATAACTGTCTGACCTGCTCCAGCCACGCCTACCCACCCCATCCTAATCCCAAGTCCCCTCGCCTTTGATTCAATTTAGACTGTGCTCTTTTATTCTGATTTTAAAAGTCCACAGAATTGGATATATGTATTAGCAGCATGAAAAATAACATAAATCTGCCAAAAATAACCTTTAGGATAGTAAGATATTTTCACTAAAGCTGTTTTTAACTTGGTGTTTTATAGGGACAGAAGAGGAAGATGAAGGAGATGACCTTTTACTTCGGTCTGTGGATGAGTTCTGGTGGTTTCCTCACATGTGGAGCCACATGCAGCCCCACCTCTTCCACAATGAGTCATCTTTAGTAGAGCAGATGATTCTCAACAAGGAATTTGCACTGGTGAGCACATTTTATTGTGGTATCTTTTGAGCTATAAGTTGTGATCTTGTGGTGGAAGTATAAAATCAGTGATAGAAAGAGAATAAAATACAATATCAGGGTGCATCACATGTATTGAGGGTACATATAACTTAGTGATATTTTGTTTCAGACATGTGTGTATATATATAGGGCCATCATGTGATTATGTAGAAAATATATTTCAAAAAGTAAGTTATTTTCAGGAGGCTTTCAACTCCTATTTTATGAGATGACTATTCTTGTATCTATGAAGACAAAAAAACAGTACAACTTTCATTTGTGGTGCAATATAATTAACCATTCAAAAATAATGTATTGCTCAACATCAGTAATCATTAGAGAAATACAAATCAAAACCACAATGAGATATCATCTCATTCCAGTCAGAATAACTGTTATTAAAAAGTCAAAAACAATAGATGTTGGCAAGGTTACAGAGGAAAAGAGAACACTTATACCCTGCTGGTGGAAATGTAAATTAGTATAGCCATTGTGGAAAGCAGTGTGGCAATTTCTCAAAGAACGTAAAACAGAAGTATCATTTAATTGAGCAATTCCATTATTAGGTATATGCCAAAGAAGTACAAATTCTTCCACCATAAAGATGCACACTCATGTTCATCACAGAGCTATTCACGAGAGCAAAGTCATGGAATCAACCGAAATGCCTATCAACAGTAGATTGGGTAAAGAAAATGTGGTCCAAATACACCATGGAACACTATGCAGCCATAGAAAGAATGTGATTATGTCCTTTGCAGCAACATGGATAGGGCTGGAGGCCATAATCCTAAGCAAACTGACACAGAAACAGAAAAACAGACACTGCATGTTGGCACTTATGAGTATGAGCTAAACACTGAGTACACATGGACGTAAAGAAGGGAACACTAGACCCTGGAGCCTGCTTGAGTGCGGAGGGAGAGAATGGAAAAACTACCTATCTGATACTATGCTTATCGCTCGGGTGACAAAAGAATCTGTACACTGAAACTCCATGACACAATGTGTCTATTTCATAAACCTGCACACAGTCCTGAGCTATTTTTTAAATAATAGTTTAAAAAATCATTTGTTGCAAGAATGAAGGAAGAAATGAATGAGTTGAATGTTTGGAGCCATGACTCTAGACCAGTGGCTCGCGTATTTTAGTGTGATCTGTTTCACCTAGAAGACTTCTAAAACACAGACTGCTTCGTCCTTTAGCAGAGTTTCTGATTCAGTAGATCTGCAGAGAGGGCTGACAATTTGCATTTCAGAAACTTCCCAGATGATCCCCGTGATTCTACACTAAGAATCACTTGCTCTAGACTAGGGGCAGGAAAATTATGACCTTTGCTTTTTATGATCCCTGAGCTAAGAAAGCCTTTTAAAAAACGTTTCTTAATAATTCAAATCAAAGGTAAACAACAAAAGGAACAGTGATATTTTGTGGCACATAAAAATCATATAAAATTTACATTTAAATGTTCATAAATAAAATGTTGTTGGAACACAGCCACACTCATTCCTTTATGAATTGCCTGCAGCTGCTTTCACATTTCAATGGCAGAGTTGAGTGGTTGCAAAAGATATCCTGTGGTCCACAAAGCCTAAAATATTTTTATCTCAACCTTTACCAAGAAAAAGTTTGCCTATCTCTGCTCTAGACATTAATTAAGCCATGTATTCCTTTAAGAATCTAACTAAAGACAGAAACATTTTCCCTAGAAAAATGCTCAGATATACATTCTCACATCTTCACCCAGTGGGCATACAATCACAAAGGGTTTGTGAATCCACCAAAGACCCTAGTTCCTAGTTAGGAACTCCTAACTTAAAGTGTTATTATTCATTAGTACTGTGCGATTACTGATATCTTCATTTTTTAAAGTCATCTTTGGAAGCATAGCCCCCAAGTCAAATTAATACTATGATATTTTATAGTTATGTCCAGTTGTTAAGCTAATAGGTCATCACTCTTTGCATCTCTAAATCCCCAGACCAGTGTCAGATCTGCACACAGGATTCTTAGCAGTAAATGTAGAAAGCATAAAAAAAAGGTAAGATCAAGGACTCAGGCACCAGATTATCTGTTTGAATCCTCACCTTCCATTGATGGTTGCTTGACCTTGAACAAATTACTTAGATTCTCTATGTCTGTTTCTCCATTTATAAAACTGAGGATAATGGTAACAACTACCTCATGGAATTGCTGGGAGGACATACATAATGTGCTGAGAGCAGCCACTGGCACACAGTAAGCATTCAATAGTGTTAATTAACCAATTATGACCTTTCTAAATATAGAGGCTCATGCAGTTACATCTTGCTTTTAAAACAGCTTTTTGAAAAAAACATATGGATTACAAGGGGTTGTTTTTTACTTAACTTTTAGGAAATGTCTCATAAATGTTGTGCTGCTTCATAGCATTATAAAATTAAGTAAATATTTTCCATTTCAAAAATAAACTTACCTTTAGTAAGCATGCTAAATTCTCTCAGGACAGTTACCTTGAAAATAAAACATGTGCATCACCTGTCTTAAACTTCCCCCACTTCATTCCACTCCACTTCCACTCTTGAGCCTTGCTCTTCAGGGATATAGGTTATATTTCATAATGGTTGATTCCACCTGTTTGTGTAATTTCTTTTTTTAAAAGCCATGCTGAGAGCTCTGGGAAGATTCAAATGTAATTGCTTTGTAATGAAATGTTGAAAGGTATTTAGAGTCCATTCAGAGTAATTACATTTGTTTAGTCAGCATGGCCAGAAACTACACTTATTCCTATAAATATATTGTTTAAAAAATCTTACTATATTTTACATAGTCAAAATACTACAACTGAAATGAAGTCCGTTAAACATACATCATACTGAAATGACACTGTCCTTTTCCTTCTGGAGTTCAGCTCAATAAAACTCAAGACTCTTCAAGCAGTGACATTCAGAACCCCACCTTTACTGTCAACATAACATGACAATATGTGTGCTATCCAGAGAGCCAAGAGATATATCTCTTTCTTATTAAATTATTATCTTTTCACATCCAGCTGACACTTTAGAACCATCAACAGTGTCAAGATAGGATAGGATAGCAGAAACACTAAATGGATATTGGTGGAGTGAGTTTTAGTCCTGACAGCTAATAACAAGTTCTGATAAAATTGGCAACTTATTTAATGTCTTTATACCTCACTTTCCTCTCTCGAAATAGTAATGACTTGCCTTTTCATTCTCTAAACTACAAAGTTTTTAGATAATTAATTTACATCAACTCATCTGCCAACCAAAGGCACTGGACCAGATAATGCTACCGATCAATTTCAATTTTAAAATTCTGTGATCGTTCGTGGACAACGTTGGTCCGCAAATTTGGAATGAACATCGTGAAATCCTTGTCTAGCTGGAATTGAAGTAATTATGGGAAAATATTTTCAAACTAAATGAATAAGTTATACAGATAAAAATTAAAAGTCTTTAAATCCTTTTTTTAAGTTCTGTTCTGACATTCCTCATTATCCCTTGATATGACCTTGGCTGTCAGAAGGATTGTCAGTCTCAAAAGCACGTTTGTTCTCATAGCAGTTCCAAAAACAAATCAAACATATTCAGACCTAATAATAGCTTGATATTGATATTTCAAATCAGTTTTTTTAAGAAAACCAAACAATCTATCTGAGTGGTTTCATTTGTGGAATTTCTCTGAAATCTTTCTGGATGGAGTTTATTTTCTCTTGTAATATGTTTAAACATCATGAGAGAAACACATTGCAAACTTGGTTCTTTACCTTTCATCATGTTTGAAGAGACCTTATTAATATAAGACATTGTTGTTGTTATTGCCTAATCCACACACACATACACACACATATGCCTTGTGAATATGTATATGCTTGTTGGAGTTATGTGTATGTATATGCTTAATCCATGAGCACAAATGTATGCAGTGGGGGTGTATATGTGTATAGATGTATTATGCTTACTCCATGCACATATATGTTATGTGCATATGTGTGTGTGTTTGTATACAGGATGTTAGTCTAATGACAAGCATAGGCAACCGAAATATGGCAGTTACAAGATACCCTTCTTGGTATGGCAGTAGGGTGGAGAAAAATACTTTTTGGTTCTTTTTCCTTCAGGAACTCACTGCCATTCAGTTGCTTGACTATGTCAATAAATAGATGGAAAGCTTCATTAATGACAATAGACAAACGAAGGCTGAAGAGAACTAGAAACATTGGCCAACATGAAAGCACTAATAAAAAAAAATTACCAAAAATTATTCCCGATTTAACCTATACTATTATATTATTTTCCAACCACAGAAAGAAAAGTGCATATACCATAAACCTGAATTGTTTATTTTATTCCACAATATAATTGAAAAAAATTTTAAAAATTGTATTTCGTTGTTTTAAGTTTTACATATAAACTCATTAAAGTTTTCAAGCCAGTAGGGCATTTCAGTCATTAATAGTTGCAGACCATGAAATATCCTGAAGGGATAAGTATCAACTTTTTGCCTTTACTGTTGACATTTTCAATGATGATGTGAATTTGACTTGCTATGTTCTTGAGCAGTCTGGTGTCCTTTTCGTGACTACGTGAAGATTCTTGAAATAAAGACATAGGATTTTAAATTCTGATTTTAAAATGCTACACATATTTATGAAATCTATATAACTTTTTTCATAATTACACAATATTCGTGAGGTAAAAAATGCTGACATTTAAATTGTTCTCATAAAAATACATACCTATTAAAGAGAGACTATGAAAAATCCTTAAGTGTCATAATAGACTGAACACTCAATCAGCTATGTAGGTGTTATATTAAAAAGAAATAAAAGTGCCTGTAATCCCAGCACTTTGGGAGGCCGAGACGGGCGGATCACGAGGTCAGGAGATCGAGACCATCCTGGCTAACACGCTGAAACCCCGTCTCTACTAAAAAAAATACAAAAAACTAGCCAGGCGAGGTGGCGGGCGCCTGT